GCCCCGGCCCGGCACGCCCCCGGATTGGCCACGCCCCTACGAGCACGTTCCTGAAACCACTCTTAAAGGGAACGCGACTGGTTCAGGAGTCCCCAGAGTCCTCAGGTCCCAGAAACCTGAGGATTTGAACCTGGAAAACTCAATGCAGTTCCAAAGGTAAGGACAGGTCGCAGATTCGCCTGGAAAAAAAAAATAATAACATTGGGGTCCGGGGGAGGAGGCATTCGCTGAAGTCCAAGACTTGGAGTCTGAGCTTCCCACTGGCAAGGGTTGCTAGATGGATCCAATTTAACTCCAAGCTGAAATGGAAAAATAATTACCGAAAATTTGTGGTTTATTAGAAAACAACAGAATACAAGCCATTTTAAGTATCTTGGATAGGATAGTCTATTCAGGACTATCCTAATATATAGGATGCCTGGCAATACAACCCCTTTCTTAAGTGAAGAAAATTCTAGAAATGGGCAGAGTTCAAGTCTCACTTAGCCACAGAATCGTGGAGTGACCTTAGAGAAATCACTTCACTTCTCTAGGTTTCCATTTCTACATCTGTTAAACAAAGATAAACATGGTATGTAAAGTGTGTGCCACAAGAGCCAGCAATTGCTGGGGAGAACTGCAAGTTCAAGCCAGCCTTGGCAAGTTCAAGGCCAGCCTCAAAAGGCAATGGGGTAGAAAGACCAAGAGTGCAACTTTTAGACAAATGGTCAAGGAAGGCTTGAAGAAGAGAGAGGAAAGAGGAGGGAGCCCTGTAGTATTGTAGGAAGAGTGTCCCAGGCAGGGGGAACAGGGAGTGCAAAGGCTGAGATGGGACCACCCTGGACATATTTGAAGTATGATGAGACCACAGGATGGAGCCCCTGAGCAAGCAGAGGAAATGAGGTCAAATATGATTGCAAAGCCAGATTGCATAAGGCCTGTGGATCATGGGAAAGATATTTTGCTTTTACTTTGAGAAGAACCAGGAGCCATGCAAAAGTTTTGAGCAGAGGAGGAATGTGATCTGTCTGAAGTTTAGCACAACCCCTGGCTGCTGTGGGGAGGAGGGGCTGTAGGGAACAAGAGAAGGGGCCAGGATCCAGGAAAGAAGCTACTGTAGTGATCCTAACAAGTCATGATGGTGGCTTAGAAGAGAGTGGGGCAGTGAGATTCAGAGAAAGGCTGAAATTCTGGGTGTATTTTTAAATATATGCAAGATCAGCTGATGGCTTGGATTTGGGGAGTGAGAGAGACAAACCAAAAAGGAATCAAGGATGACTCCAGGGCTGGGAACATGGCTCAGTGATGGAGCACCTGAGAAAGGCTCCATATTTTGGGTCTCAATAATAGGAAAAATGGAGAAGTCTTGAAGGGAAAAATCTAGGTGTGTTTTTTTTTTTTTTTAATTACATTGAGCCAAAACAACTAGATGTCATGTAGAAAAGTAAACCTTGGTCTTTACCTCACACCATACAACAAAAATCAACTCCAAATGGACTAGCAATACAAAAGCCAAACTGTAAAACTTCTAGGGAGAAAAAAAAAAAAAAAACTTCTAGGGAGGGGGCTGGCAGTGGAGCTGAGCCGTGGAGCACAGTCTTAGCCCTGGGTTTCATCCCCAGCATGTGGAGTCCCAACCTTCCTTCCTATAGGAAGGTAGAATGCCCCCCAGCCCTCAATATGGACTTGCTCCCACAGGGAGGTCCCCACCCGGCTTCCACACCCTCTCCTCTGCCCCAAGCCCTCACCTCCCCCCATATGCTGTTAGCACTCGTGTCCCATCTTGTGTGTGCCCAACACACTCAGGCCTGACTCGCTCAACCCATGGCTTTTCCCAAAGAAAAGGTCCTGCAGCCTCTGATCCTCGGGCAGGAGGAATGGAGCCTGGAGTTGATCAGGGACTCTTGGCTCTGTGATTCTGGGAATTCACCCAGTTGCTCTGGGCTTTGCTCTGCTCAGGAGAGACAGGTCCTCTGTGTTGTGCCCGTTAGGGAGACACACACACAGAGTTTCGCAGGAGGCATATGTACCCTTTCTCCCGAGCACTCAGAGTAGGCCATGGCTCTAGCCCTGATAATTGGTTCAAGTGTAGACATGTGACCCAGGCCCGGCCAATGAGGTTCTGACCTGAGACTTTATGAAATGGGAGGAGTCAAACTGGCCTCCATGGGAGCAGGGCCAGCCACAGGTGTGGAGAGGGACAGCCCCTGCTGCCATCAGTGGAGTTCCTGGGTACAACTGTGCATGACATGGACAGAATTCCCTGGACAAAAAAAAAAAAAGCAAGGGCTTTCCTTGCCTTTGGAGTTTCCCCAAATCTTGACTCTCACCAGGAAAGGACAATAACAGTCTGGGTCTTGACGGGGGTATTGCCCCCACATCTGTGAGTGCAGCTCTCACAGCCTCTGGTGCAAAGCCAGGGTTGGCGGTGAAGGAAGTAGGAGTCACAAAGAGCGCAGCATCTTTCTGGGAAGACCTGGGGGCTGGGAGGGGTGCAGTTCACCTGACAAAAATTTAGCATTTGCCAGGCACCGTAGTGCATACCTGTAATCCCAGATACTTGGAGGCTGAGGCAGGAGGATCACAAGTTTGAGGCAGCCTCAGAAATTTAGCAAGACCCTGTTTCAGAACTCCCCCTCAAAAAAGTGAACAATTCAATAGAATTTAACACATTCATAATGTTATAAAACCACCACCTCTGTCTAGTCCCAAAATGTTTTTATCACCTCAGAAGGACCTGCACCTGTTAGTGGTCACTCCTGGCTCTCCTTGTCCCCAGTCCCTGGCCATCACCCACCTGTTTTCTCTCCCTGTGGAGTTGTCCCTCCTAGACACTCTTGCAAGTGTGGCCACTCATGACTGGCTTCTTTCCCTCCCTGCTGTGGCCTGTGTCCGTGGCTTGTATCCATGGCCTGTATCCATGGCCTGTATCCGTGGCCTGCGTCTGTGGCCTGTGTCTGTGGCCTGTGTCCATGGCCTGCGTCCGTGGCGCCATTCCTTTACAGCTGAGGAAAACCCACTCTCTGGATAAACTGCATTGTATCCGTCCTCCATCCATAGAGGACTTCCCAGTGTCCCCACCTCTGAACTACGGTGGATAGTGAGGTGTCTTGGTGGCGGGGAGCCGCAGAGGACTGGAGGAGGGATGGTGAGTCAGAAGCACTGGAAAGGGGAATTTGGAAACCAGAACTAGGCTGCGGCCGCAGTCCCCAAATCCCTGGGGTTTCACCGCCATGCTACGTCTAAGACCCGTCACTTCCCTTCGCGGTCTCTACTTCCCCAAGCCAGGCCACCGTCATCTCTTGCCAGTGGGCAGCAGTAATGTCCTTTTGGATCTCCCTTCTGCCACTTGGACACCCCTCTTCTCACACCCCAGTGGGCCCCCTGGGACTCACCACTCCATGGCCCTCTCCCACCGAGGCCTCTCCCTGCGCCCCGTGGCCTCAGTAGCAAATCCAGACTCCTGGCCATGGGCAGCAAGGTCCTGCCTGTCCAGGGCCCTGCCCCACAGGCCTGCCCTGCGGTTTGCACTCATTTTCCACCCATCTTCTCTCCCTTCCCAGAATGCACCCCGCTGCAGACCCTTCCCATGTCTTTGCGGGAAGATTTCTTCCCACATCCTCCCTTACCTGGCACTCCTCATCCTTGAAGGCCTTGCCCAGCCACTGCCCTTTCTGTGAAAGCATAAGACCCACTAACCCTCTTCCATACTGAGCTTAGTGCCTGCCTTCCCTCAAATCAGTCATTCTTCCAACTGGTATTTAATAAGCACTACTTTGTCTAAGGCACCAGAGGAAACAAGTTAAAAAGATGATTACATGCATGTAAAAGTGGAAGCAGACCAAATGTCCCTCAAGGGATGAATGGGTAGACAATGGGCGCATTGGTGCTGTAGAATATTACTCAGCCATGAACAAGAACACAGTTCTGATTCATGGTACATACGATGGGGAGGAATCTCTAAAACCTGGTGCCAGGTGAAAGAAACCAGCCACAGGAGACACATAGTGTATGATTCCATTTGTGGGAACTGTCCAGAACAGGTAAAAATCCACACAGATGGATTTTATTTTTTTTTT